CTACTAAATCTTACATGTCTCCCCAAATATTATTTCCCCTGGGATACCTTCCCAGGTCCTCAGAATTGGATTAGATGCCCTCCTACAATACTCTTCCACGTCCCTTATCTCTCCTCATTGTATGGTAAGCTCAGTGAGACCAGAGGTTTTACTTTGTTGTCTGTGGTAACTCAACAAACAAATCACATTATTTATTGAAATAATGAATTAATTTCTTGGAACTCAGCAATAATCATTACTACAGTTATTATATTTAAGAAATAGTTCATATCCTTTAATATAAGGAGATATCTGGGTATAATATAGTTATTACAATGAAAACACTTTGAATCTGTGTAAGCCAAAGTTTGTCTTATTTATTCAGATGCTTTTAGTAAGCTATTGTTTGTCACCAGCATGTGTTAAAAATTTATATGCCAAGATGGAACAAAGATTAAGAATTATGATCCTAGAGGATGCATTCCAGAAATTACTAACTAGGGTTTTACTTTTCAAAATTGGCCTGCTTACTATTAACCTGTATGTAAAATTTAATTTAATAAGCTTCATTCACCCTGGCCAGTTTGGCTCAGTGGTTAGCGTGTCGGCCTGTGGACTGAAGTGTCCCGGGTTTGGTTGCTGCCAAAGGTACATACCTCGGTTTTAGGCTCTACCCCGGGTTGGGGCTCGTGTAGGAGGCAACCAATCGATCTCTCTCTCTCTCTCTCTCTCTCTCCTTTCCACTCTCTCTGAAAAGCAATGGAAAAAATATCCTCAGGTGAGGGTTAAAAAAAAAAAAGATTCATTCAATTCCCAGGAGTATTTCTAGGAGAAGGACCCATGTTGGCAATCAGGAAGTTATTGTCTATGTTTATATATTTTTACCCTCCAAAACACAAAATTGATAAGAAAGCAGCAAAGGCAGATTTTAAAAGAACCATTAAATCTTTATACTCTTTCTCAAATCCTCTTAAGTGAGCTCTACATTATGGGAATTAATAATAATGGCATTTGTAAATTAACTCAGGATTCTGAGTTAGGACCATTCATATGCTATCCTGGTTTATAATTTAGTGATAGTAAGTGAAATTTTCCTCTTCTTGATAATAATCATGTTTTGGTTGGATAGTAGCTCTAATTGCTGCAGGGCCCTAAAGTGGTAGCATGTATAAATATCTATATCCATGAGTTATTTCCTCTGATGCTGGATAAACCAATGGGCCCTGTTTCAATCTAATATGTACATTTTAGCAAAGTATGGCATGTAGAAAGGAACACAATGTCTTCTTATAATTCTCTGAGACTAAAATTTTGTTTATACTCTAGGCAATGATAGAGTTTGAAACTATTTAAATAGAATTGTACCCTATTACACTTTGACAGCAAAAACCTACATTTTTTTCATGTGTTCTTAGTAATGTTGTTGGGTGGGGTGGTTATTACATTAGTAGCATGTTTTAAATTTATGCTATGTTGATGCTCCAAGATAATTCAAGAGAGCTTTCAGTAATTCTTTTGAATGATATATAAATGTTGGACTGCAAAGTTATGGGAAGAATTGATCCAATCTGAAGGTTAGGATAAATGAGCATTTTAGAAAAAGAAAAACATTATGCATAAAATGTGAATTTTGGAAAAATTCCTTCTAGCGTATATTGCTTGGCACATAATAGGCATTTAATATATATATTTTTTCTTGACTGACTGAATAAATAAATAAATTATACTCATCTGGGTTGTATCCCCTACTCTTACCCCAACTCTCAATTAATATTATTTTCTGAGTCTCCACTCAAATTTTAGATAATTTTTCCCCCAAGTTTTGGCATTCTTAATTGTCTAATTAAGAATGATTTGTTTGGGGTGCTGGACACACAATATAATATACAGATGATGTATCATAGAACTGTACCCCTGAAACCTATATAATTTTATGAACCAATCCCACCCCAATAAACTCAATTAAAAGAATGATTTGTTAATAATTACTACCTCTTTGGATAATTTCCTTCCCCTTTCACGCTTATAATCTGCCTACACTTTTCAAGACTCATGCTGCCTTTTATTCTTTGGGCTAGTTTTTATTCAATAAAAGAGAACAAAACTCTGTTTCTCTCTGCCTTTTAATAATTGTGACCCTTTCTGTCACATTTGGTCCTTTCCAAATCAGCAGTGGTTGCTACAAGTGAGAGCTGAGAGAACATGCCAAGTGCAATGCTAAATTTAAAAAGAAGCATTCCCACCTGTTGTTAACTGGCAATGGCCAACGACACACCCACAGTTTCCTCCACCCTCTGCTTTTCACCAAGTGCAGCCCATAGCCCACTCTTTCTGTGTTCAGGTATAAATAAGTACTGATGGTTATATCCATCATAAGAAAATGGAGAACAAATATAGCATTTGACACTTAATGAGTTCAGTCTCAGAGGAGCTGGAATTTGGGCAATGTTGTATCAAAGAGGCAACCCAGGAAGTACGTGCCATCCAAAGTTAGCTTAAATTAATTTGCCAAATTGGCAACTCTAACCTGGAGGAGCTCTGCAGGAGAAAGATAGTAACATAAATAATTCTGATACAAAATGCAAATAGAAGGTAAAAGAAGGGGACTGTAGCCCAGCCAGCCAGATTAATCTAATCAAATAGGTCTGATAATAAAGGGGTGTGGCTGACTTCATTGTCAAATCAGCTCATATCAAATATCAAAGTACTATGATAGAAAGTCAAACACGGGCCTGGCTGGTGTCGCTCAGTCGGTTGGAGTGTCGTCCTGGACACTAAAATATGGTGGATTTTATTCTGGTCAGGGCACATACCCAGGTTGTGAGTTTGATCCCTGGTTGATGTTTTACTCTCACATCTATGTTTCTGGTGAGGATTAAAAGATACACACACACACACACACACACACACACACACATGCACATATATGACTACCTAAAAAAAATTGTAAGAGTTTAATTTTACCTGGACATTCACTGTCAGAGGAGGCCAAGCTGGTCTTCAAAAGAGTAAAACAGGTGCTTCTAGGAACAGTAAGAGCAAAGAGTAGAGGAGATTGGAAGGTCAGGGCATGTTCAAGGGATGGGTAATGAATACCTGGAGGGTGCAGAAGAGAGGGGGGCAATTTACTGATTTGACGTTTTGTTATAATTCAGCCTTGTCAGGGAAGGTTCTTACGATTTTTTGGCCCTTTCGAATACTCCGGGATGGATGGTGTTGGTTTCCTTAAGAATGTGTGCTGGATTTCTGTGCACTTAGGAGGTGTGGTGTGAGTGCAAAATTAGCGTCCTGCCCCTTTGAATCACTTCCGATAGAGGCGAAAGACTGCCTGACTCCAAAGGTCTAGTAAATAGCAACGACCCAGGAGGCCACAAAGCAAATCCAACACAAAAAGGACAGCATTTAAGTTTGCTGCCAACCCTTTCCATCCTGAGAAGCGCGGACAAAGATAGTGCTATTTGGACAAGCCCTGCCCTTCTCAACTCTTGACAGAAAAACTTGGCAGATTGGATGTTATCGACCTATAAGTGTGTTAGATTGCAGGGTCACTGAGTTATAAAATAATATGGAGTCAGTCATCCTTTGGATGCCAGGGCATGAGACTCCTGCCACACAAAAATTTTAAGAGGGAGTGTGTAAACATATCTAGTAAATTATATGTATAAAGTGTGTAAATTATTCCGGAGAGAAAGAAAATGAGGAAGGAAAAAAAATGTGTGCACTTGTGTATGTTTAATAAGTGAGACCAGATACAGGGATAGACAGGAAAAGACACGCTTAAGAGTAGTTGAACCTTTCTCAGCTACATTTACCAGAAATATTCATGATCCATAGCAACTGACAGGGAAAGGACATGAAAGATCACAGAAACTAGGAAGTCCTGGGAAAGTGAGCGGTAGTGTTGGGGAGATGACTGCAGATGAGTAGGTGTAGAGAAACAGGAATAATGGCCTCTGGAAAAATATGACGGCAAATAGCTAGAAAACAGAGCTAGGCTTTTGTTCAGGATAAATATTCAAAGGCTAAAACCCTTTCCTCTTGCTTTTCTTCTTCATATACCTTTTCCTGATCTTTAAGAACTGCTGATAATAATTCACATTATCAGTGAACCATGAAACACAGTTCCCAGACCTCTAAGCAGACCCCTTTCATCTTTTCTTGCTCGTGTGAGTGAACTGTGCATTACCTACCCTAGTTATTCTGGAAAGCTTAGGCAAATACTCCACTGAGTTGAGTCATGCTTGGGAGCTGACTTCAGTGTATATTTTAGTAGGGAACCTAGTTAGGATTTCATGCTCCAGGAAATCTGTTCTGATTAGTTTTAGCTGAAAAAAAGATCAACTTGTTTTAAGAATTGGCACAGGAAACAATTCTGCAGCCATGTAGGTTTCAGTGACTATGTTTTTACAATGATCAAAATAACATGCTGGTGGGGAAAAGAAACCATTCAGAAATTCCCCAGAGTTAATGTGTTTTCTTGTTTATGCTTCCAGAAATCACTATCTATCTAAATTATATATGATATATAAAATTTTAAAAAGGACCATCTATGCTGTATTATTACTTTTTGAAAGAAGTAAAGATGGAATAATTTTTTTTCTTTTATTTTTTTATTTTTCAATTACAGTTGACATACAATATTATATTAGTTTTAGGTGTACGACATAGTGATTAGACATTTACGTAACTTGTGATCACCCCAATAAGTCTAGTACCCATCTGACACCATACATAGTTATTACAATATTTGACAATTCTTTTTTTTAAATAATTGCATATATTCTGTTACAGGGTTATTCTCTAATTTAACCAGTTCCTTATTGGAAAATATTTGTTTTCTTCAAAATTTTACTTTCAAAAGTTATGATGTTTTAAAGTTTTTTTCCTGGTTACTTTACCATCCCCTATAGATTTAATATCTCTAGAGTGATCAGCACAGTATCTGACGTAGCACATAGTTGATAAATATTAATTCCTTTTCCCTTTATATATAATTTCTCTTCATATATACTTTTTTTAAGGTATGAGGATGACTTTCTGTTGAGCTATCTACACTTTCTCCTTCTGGGGCCTGGTCAACCAGCTGATGTGAGATATATCCTTTGCATCTATGGAAAAGATCTTCTCTATGAAGAGATAATAGACATTTGTTTAAATTAGTTTCTAGCCCTGGATTATTAGAACTCAGTTTAGTCAATGGATCCTCAGATTACACAGCCTACCTATGGTGAATCAGTGGTTTCATCTTTGTAGGTAAAACAATGACACATTTTGGTAAATAGATCAGAAGGTTTTGGTAATCCTTCCAGTTTCAGGTTTATGCACTTAAAACACCTTCTCCCCCTTCCCCCCATTTATTGTGGTTCTTGTGCAAATGCGCAGAACTAAATCTCGTACTGCAGGATGTGCGTCTAATTTTTATACTTGGAAAAATGAGGCAAGGCAATTCCAATAGAACTTCTCACACTGTAAGATGGGGGGGAGGGCACAATCCTGATTNGTCTAATTTTTATACTTGGAAAAATAGAGGCAAGGCAATTCCAATAGAACTTCTCACACTGTAAGATGGGGGAGAGGGCACAATCCTGATTTATAGCCATATTTGATGAAGGCACAGGAAATAGAAACAAAACTAAAGTCCATGGTAATCCTAGTAAGAAGGTGTAAAGGGTAAGAGAGAAGAGGAAATGGCACTGGCACAGCATGGGTAAATACCTAAAATGCAGATGGGGTAAATATAGATGGGTGGAAAATGCTTGTAAGTGAAGTTGTTTCAGGAATGTCATAGATTTCCAACTAAGGGGATTAGTGTGTGCAGCTGTTAAATGGGGTCTTATCTCATTCCTAAGCTCTCAGTTTCCACTGTTGGACAATAAATGCCTTTTGGGTGAGAGGCATGATAGTCTCTCCTGAAGAAGCCAGTCATCTTACTGTTCTGGAATGGGGTGGAAGGATTAAGCTAACCAAAAGCTCCACTTAATTATTTATCAACTCTTGGTCATAAAAGTACCATTTCAGTCAAGCTATAAAGAATATTATAAAGTGATACAACAAAATTGTGTTTGTGTGTTTTTGTATTTGTTTCTTTGTCGCCTAAGGCTATGCTTCAAAAAATGTTTTCCAAAATTAAGAATGACATTTTTATGTGCTTACCAAACTCTTTTTCTGCTTCATATTTTAAAAGGAGGTGTGAGAATTAACCAGCTCATATATAAACAGACAGTATGGAAAAATTCTGTTCTAAGGAAATTCAGGAACCCCAAATCATTTTTTAAAAGTCTTTAATGAGCTCTCAGTACAAGCTTGTTTCTTGTGGAAAGAAGAATTTTTCAAGAGAAAGTGATCAAGAGTTACTCCAAAGTGTTTTCTAATGCCTATTTAGCTAACTTTGGAAAATTCATTAAAATGACCTTTATATGATTTTTATTACATTACCAACATGTTCTGTTTCTATAGTTTAGTAAGTGCACACAAGGTCAAAGAAGGTAAGAAAATAGAGAGTATTGCTTCTAGAGAGTGTAAGAATATCAATATAAAGGTGCTGTAAAATGAACTGAGTATTTGAAATATATAATCAGGTCTGTTAATTCATTGCAGTGGCATGCGCTCGTTCTGAGACTTTGATACCATAATCATTGTACTCCTCCTGTACTATGCTACTTATCACAGTCATTAGATTACCCTATGATGTAGGGTTAATTTCAGCATATCCAAATGCCATCAGTTATGAATAATAATTTTGGGCATGTCGTTGACAGTTCCAAGTATACCTAGTTAATGATTATTAATTTGGTCCCTATTTTGCCAACTTAGAACACTCACGGAGTACAAAGCTTTGCACAAACACCTATTTCCCCAGTTACCCTTACCATAGCTCTATCCTTGGTGCAGATTAGCCGAACCGAATATGCCATCTCTATCGCTGCTCTTCTAAGGGGCTTGGGTGCCAATTACCAGTTCCCTAGAATTTGCCCGTAATTGACTATGTCCCACAATAGGTAACTCTGGAAGTGACAGGCAGCCTCAAGTGTGGTTCTCCCGCCCGTCGATTGGACTCTGCAGGAAGCCCCGCCTCGTCAACTCAGCCAAGGGCTGCCGTTGGTCTGGCTCCGGTGAATGGCGGGCCTTAGCTCCGCCCCGGCCGTCCGCTGCGCTGCCTGGGTCGGCGCCGTTTCCAGTTGAGAGATGGCGGCCGCCGCAGGTAGATCGCTCTTGCTGTTTCTCTCCTCCCGGGGCGGCGGCGCGGGCGCCGGCGGCTGCGGGGCGCT